GTATTAACGTAACTTTTGTAGAATACCGTGGGAAATTCCCACGGGTTTATAATATATAAAGGGTAGATCTGAAACATGTAAAGTAGATGAAGTAGATGAAAAGCTGATGAGTAATAAAAACAGTTCACCCGGTACCTCTCTCTTGGGCGAATACCGTGTACCGCCGAACTACACGCCTACAGACCTCCCTCCCTCCCTCCCTCCGATCTAGAAAAGTAGATCTACTCTTGTTCTCAAATATCTCTAAAACGGATGTAAGCAAGGGCGGTTCCAGGGGGAAAAAGAGGGGCTGAAGCCCCCTTCCCCTTAACTCAATTAGCCCCCCTCCCCTAAACTCAATTAGCCCCCCCCCCTAAAATTTTGGCTGGATCCGCCCTTGGTAAGTGTACTTGCGTCTGTTTGCATGTATGTTAAACAACAGTATTTGTGAATTGAAATATAGTCACTGCGAACACCCACTATCGAGCATTTCAACAGGTCCCTTTTTGGACCACTTTTATGACCTTACCCTATACGAAGTATTATAACAGATCCTTGGTCGTTATGTTATTGTTTGATTTATTATACTGTTTGTTGTTCAACAGGAAGTCTTGGTGTATGGAAAAGGAAATCCTCACAAAGTCGTGGTAGTTGACTGTGGAATCAAACAGAATATCATAAGAAATCTAGTGACGGTAATGATTGATTGAAACTTTTTAGAGGTGCCGGCGAGGGACTCTGCTTGATTGACTTATGACTAGGGAACAAAAAGGAGTAACCACTAGTCATTCTTATTCACTTGTTGTATTCAACACACCAACACAGTCCCAACYAGTAACCACTAGTCATTCTTATTCACTTGTTGTATTCAACGCACCAACACATCCCCGACTAGTAACCACTAGTCATTCTTATACACTTGTTGTATTCAACACACTAACACAGTCCCAACTAGTAACCACTAGTCATTCCTATTCACTTGTTGTATTCAACACACCAACACAGTCCCGACTAGTAACCACTAGCCATTCTTATTCACTTATTGTATTCAACACGCCAACGCTGTCCCAACTAGTAACCACTAGTCATCAGTATTATGACTATAGTGTGTTCATCTACATACAGATTTGTTATTCTTTTTCCTCATTTAATCCGTCATCATCCTGATTTTCTTTGCATTTCTTTTCTCTGATGCTGAAAAAATATATGCAATGTAACTGAAAGGAAAAAAACTGACTTCCTTTTTGAACTGGGAAAACATTTATTCGAAATGAAGTTAAAGGGTCGATTGGCCTTAACCGGATTTTGTTTTTCATAAAATAACTGTTATAAATCTCGCATTCTGATTGCACACAGCACGCACGCGCCCTTTGCATTTTATAAAAGAAATAAGAAACTTGCTTGCTGTGCTGTGGGCAGTTATAAAGCACTTGGGGATTGGCACAACACTCGAGAGGTGTCGAGAAGCCCTCCTCTACACGTCGTGCTTCTCCTAACACTTCTCTCGTGTTCTATCAACCCCCGCGTGCTTTATAACTGTACACAGCACGTGCGCGTTTTCTATTTCTTCCTTTTCGGGATGCGCAGTGCTTACCAAAACTGTGATGAAAGGGTGCCCACAGCTTTTGATGGGCGGGGATTCAATAGATCTTTTTAACTTGGCTCTTTTCCCATTTTAGAATAAGATTCTTTCTTTGATGGGTATACATATGCATGTCAATAATAGTTCTCATATGCAACCGTTAAACAATTAAATGATACTCTTGGGTTGACACATGCCGGGCAAAGGGACAAAGATCCATTAACGTACATTACTGAGCGTTTAATTTTTGGTTTATCGTCCCGTTAATGATTTTTCTTTTTTTCCCGCAAACCAGAAACAATTTTTTCTAAAAAAATTGCATGTTTTTTTACTGACTGGATTAATATTATCGTACTCCCATCCAGCGAGGTGCAGAGGTTCATCTTGTACCATGGAATTACGACTACAGCCAGTTGGAATACGATGGATTGTTTGTGTCTAACGGCCCTGGTGATCCCGCACTAGCCACGGATGCTATCAACAGCTTAAAAAAGGCATTTATCTATTGTAATGATTTTGATTTGTTATTTATATAGCCCCCTTTTCTACGTACATATTCATGAGGTGGTTAGTATGAAGTGTAGGCACTGAGGGTGGTAACTGCTAGGGTTTCTTTACGTCCTCAGTGGTTCTTTTACGTCCTTTATAAAGTGTGGAGAGATGGGACCGCCATTTAAAGTGGTCATCCAAGCCACTTGAAAGTCTAACCATTTGTAGATGTAATTACGAAGGCAGCACTTTCTCCTCAGTTATTTTAAGACCCTGAGTGTTGATCCGTCTGGTCAAGGCTTGAACCCACGACCTCCCGTACAACATTCCGATGCTCAACCAACTGAGCCAACTGGGTGGCAGCTTAGGTTACATTTAGCTCACACAGCAGATAGTTATTTTAAGACCCTGAGTGCTGGTCCGTCTGGCCAAGGCTTGAACCCACGACCTCCCGCACAACATTCCGATGCTCAACCAACTGAGCCAATTGGGTGGCAGCTTAGGTTACAATTTAGCTCACACAGCAGATAGTTTATGAGTTGAAGGTCATAAAATACAAAAACTAGCAAGTAACTCTAACAGAGCCAATGGTCTTATATTCATATAGGTATTAGACAATGATCGTCCAGAGCCAATATTTGGTATTTGTATGGGAAATCAGTTGGTAGGACTGGCTGCAGGAGCTTCAACATTCAGGTTATCACTAGGACACAGGTCAGTACTTATTATTGGTAAAATGGAAGAGACTCAGGCTGCCGGACGAATTTGTAACTGGTCAAAAATTTGACCTGTACATACCGTTTACACTTAACCGTCTCTTTAAATGTAAAAAAGATACGTTCCGTTTACACTCAACCGGTTCCAAATTTGCACGGCTAGATAGGCTTACGAATTATTTTTCGGATAGCTGAGTCCTGTGTGAATAGAACCCCTAAACGTACAACTTGGTGACCAGTTAAAAATTCGTCCAGTACCGTGTAAACTCAGCCTTATAGGGTGTAGCTATAGCCTGTGTAGAGGCTCTCTGTTTTATTTTGCGAGGAGTTGGGATTGGGGAATAGGAGGGGAGGGGAGGGGAGGGGAAATGCATCGGAGACATTATCTGTAAGATGGGCGAGTAGACGAATTATAGGTGGACATACGACGATGACATAATATTGTGTTGGTTAATTATCATCTACATTGCCAACCAGAAATCTATTGGACAATCAGCAAAACAAAGTGACAAAACCTATCGTTAAAAACAATCGTTATTATTGTATATCACGCACGGAATCATACAATTTGACGACCAAGAGTAGGTTTTTGGTGAACGTCGTTCAAAGTGTTAACAAGACTGTCAGAAAACAAAAAGGTTTTGAGAGCGCATGGAATGTCATGGAAACGCGCGCTAAACACCAATCCAGCATTCATTGTTCTTCCTCCCAGGGTCCCTAGTTACGTCGGACAAGCTGAAATATGTTTTTGAGTACAGCATGAAACAAACACCGATTGCTGAAAATTGTTAATGTCTGTGTTAGAATCAATGTATTCTAAGGTACATTAAGAAAAAAATCGATAAGCACTAATAAATTTTATGAATTCGAGTTTGTTGGCCGGACATTCTGTATTCCATTGGAAAAACTACCCATTGTTTGAGAATCGCCGGAATTGGTCTATTGAGAAAGACCGTAAACTGCTATGTGCTACATTAACATCACAAGGCAATTTTTTATAAACATTTTGTCGATCTATAGCGATTCTAACTAATTTTTGTTGTTTGACGTTTTGTTGTTAGAGGTCACAACCAGCCAGTTATCAATAATCTTAATGGCGAAGCCTTCATCACATCACAGAACCACGGCTATGCTGTAGATGATACGACTCTTCCATCTGATTGGAAGACTTTGTTTTATAATCCCAACGATCTGAGCAATGAGGTACGTCATACATATTTTTAGATGTTTGTGGTACTTTCTTACTTTGATTCCATAGATCTCCATCATATGCGGGTACAATTGTTTGTTGGCAACAAAATCGCGAAAATGTGGCTCGTAATACTACTGACCGTATTATTACTCCGCGCGCATAAAATTTGCCTCATTGCAAAGAGTAGAGAGTTTGTACTTCGCGCAACAATGCAAATTATCCGAAGTATCTCTTCAACTTGCAACGCAACGATATTTTGTGCTACAAGTTGCGCAATTTTGTTGCTGCTCGTATTACCGCAGTTTTAAAAAGTTTTTCCTGCGTCTTTTGGTTTTCGATCATTTTCGCGAAAATCCAGTTCTAATTTCTAACTCTATCTGTCGTTAAGAATGTTTTACCCATGAGCCTCGGACTTGAGAGAACTAATCCCCGCATGATCGATTAACAAAAAACTAAGCACGATATTCCACGCAGCAGAGGAATGTGCAATATTTTTCTTTCCCTTTTTTCTTTTATTTGTCAGGGAATCGTACACAGGAAAAAACCTATCTTTACAGCACAGTTTCACCCAGAACATTGTGGAGGACCAACAGATACTGAGGTATCGGGGTTGATAGAACATAGCTATAGTCTTGAATCAAATGCAGAAACAAATAAAAGAAAGCGAAAGATATGGATTGAAAATAAATGGATAGATGGTGCGCTGGACAAAAGGAAAAATGGAGGGAGAAAAGATCAAGGGGGACTTGAAAGAAGGGTGGGTGGACGGACGGACGGATGGAAACAAGTTACTCATCCAATCCCTATCTGATATTTATTTCCTCGTAGTATTTATTCGATGCCTTCATGAAAATGGTCAAGGATGAAAAATCTTCCATTGAGGTGTTACATCGACCTGTTCATGTCCTTGAAAAAAAGAAGGTATTGCATTTCACTCATATCCTTTAGTATGATACGATAATGAAAACACGTAAGAACACAGGTCTAAAGCAGATTCATGGTTTCCATCCTTGTGAAACTTAAGAGTTTTATCAATATGTTTATCGCTTAGTATGTTTTTGACTTACACTCACTCATTTGTCATTTAGATGTCTTCTTCGGAATAAAAGAGGGTTTAATTGGTGAAAATAAAAAATATCAAGATATTTCCATGTCATTTTGGGGCAACGAGGACATGAGTCTATTAACGGAATGTCATGGAAACGCCTTGATTGACTTCCACCAAAACCTCACTTTATCTTGACGACGGACAATTCCGCGCGTGTTGATGAGAACCAGTGTAATTCTAGCATTCGTTCAGGCTACTAACTTTTTTTGGTCATTTTTCTTTTCAGTTTTCCAAGGTTCTTGTGCTCGGCTCTGGTGGTCTGTCGATTGGTCAGGCAGGAGAGTTTGATTATTCAGGTTCACAAGCTGTCAAAGCTTTGAAGGTGATTTAAGGAACCACAGGGTCGGATCTAGTGAAGGAGTGCAGGGAGAGCACACCCCTCCCCCCAGATAAGCTGATATCTACTTCATTATCGGGGTTTGCGTTTGTAAGCAAAGGGGGCACCCCCTCCTAAAAAAGTCCTTGATGGTGCCCCCACCCCTAGACATAATCCTCCATCCGCCCTTGAGCCCTTTTCCTGAACCACAAGCCAGTTGTTTACCTTGTCGCTTCTAATCGTCCACACAGAAAACTGCCTTCCCCTCCTTAGAGTAGCAGATCACGGCCTTAAAATTTAACACGATACCAAGGCTCTTCAGAATAAGATGTTCACAATTGCATTAAACCTCAAAAGGATCAGGAAATATATCGCTGTAGATTCCGTTATAACGTTTTTGAGCAGAGATTTGACTAGCATTTCTACTAGAATCTTATTATCATTGCCCAAAGGAACTTTGTATATGGTACATTAATTTGTCCTACATAAATGTATTTGGTGATCCTGCACGGGCTTGTAACAAATAGGAAGTAGCATAGACTAAAACATCGCAATCAAGTCTGAATTTTAAGAGCAATTGTCTGTAAGCGTCGGCTGGGCCATGAAGGATAGAAAAATCGAAAATTTTCAAAACTCATTCGAAGAATACCCTCAAAGCCCTTATCACAAAAATATAACTTTTAGTTTCATCCGATCTTTTTTTGGCGAGTTATCGAGCATTTTATGATTTGAC